TCTCGCTTTTGTTTCTATTCTCTCCATCTCTCTATACGCACACACACACACACACACACACATATATATATATATGTGCATGCGTGTGTGTGCGGGTCTGTGTATGTGTGTTGATGTGTGTTTGCATATATGTGTGTGTGTGAAAAGTAGGGAAATGAAATGAAACAAACAAACAAAACAAAAAAGAGCAGAAAGTGAAATATGAAATCAAGGAAAAGGGAGATGGAGAAATAAAAAATAGAAAACAGAAAAAGAAAAACATTGCATAACGTCACTAAGGACAACGAAGAGGAGGAGACAGAGGAAGAAACCGTAGACTTACACCTGCGAAGTTTTTAAGCAACGAAGCAGGATTTTCACTAGAGTTCAGACAGGGAAGTTCAGCTGATGCCTGATACTTTTGCTTTTGTCTCATTGTTTACTGATTTTAAAAGGAATGTTTCAATTACCGTTATTAACAAAGTCAAGAACAAGGACCAACTTGTAATTAATAAGAAAAATAACAAAAACAATATTGGATTGAAAATAAACTTCCGTTTTGAAAACTGCTCGTCCAAATGGGTTAAAAGGTCAAAAAGGTCGATCTATATGACCCTCCGTTTTGTGCTTTGCATGGGAGGACGGAGAGTAGATAAAAAGAGAGAGAGAGACGAACCCCTTTTGTTGCAAGGGAAAGTCGACAGGACTCAAATTGCTTTGCATTGTTGTTTCGAATCGGCTTCAAAGCTGGCGATTCGGAGGTCCATCCTGATTAAGACAGATGTTCGGACATTAGTAGTTTTCTCTCTCTCTCTCTCTCTCGCACACACACACACACGTCTCTCTCTCTCTCTCTCTCTTTCTCTCTACCTCTGTTCTGAAACCGCGTCCTTCCGACCGCGTGCGCGAGTCGAGCCGACGAGCTCGGCGGCCACGCAGCGTCCTTCCCCGACGCGTCCCGATTCCCATTTAATTCCCGCAGTGCCCCCCCCCATGCATCACAGCTCGGCGTCCTTAGGATCCCCCGCACGACACACCAGGACGCGCGTTCCGAGGCATTCAAATTAGGCGATCAAATCTCTCCACATTAGGCGGATAACAGATTTAACTTCTCCCGGGAGATGGGGTGATAGACGCCAATTTCCCGGAAAGGGGCGTTTATCAGATGGAAAAACATCCCGGGACCTACGAGGTGATAACAGTCTCGTCCGATGTACAACAGTAAAGTATTTGAGATGTATGTGAACATGCGTGTTCCTGCGTCGAGTTCGTGCACGATTGCATGCATGGAGCTGATCTTGCTCGGGTTGGCAAAATGAGGGTTTGCGGGACGCCCCGACTGTCATTACTGTTCTGCTGAAGGTGCCTCTTACAGGATTCATTCAGGGAAAAATTCCTCGGCAGGAGAGACACGGCCCACAGCTTCTCCCAGCAACAGTATTTTGCCATTCATTACGGCGGACGGACACGGCGCTGCTCTGCTGTCGCCGAAGGAGGAGGCTCGGCGGCGCGGCCGTTCCCACGCTCGGGCGCGGACGCGGAGCCCTTTGGCTCGCCTTGCTTTTTGCATTCCTTCTGGGCGGCTCGCTGGCTGTTTATATTCTCTCTTTCTCTATCTACGTCTATCATTCTGTCGGTCTCTCTCCCTTCCCCACCTTCTCTCTCTCTCTCTCTCTCTCTCTCTCTCTCTCTCTCTCTCTCTCTCTCTCTCTCTCTCTCTCTCTCTCTCTCTCTCTCTCTCTCTCTCTCTCTCTCTCGCATTGCTAGTATATCCGATACAAAAAAAAGAAACTATAAAATCTATAATAGCCTGTTTAGGAGGCAACAGGTTGCATTGCCCATGCTACGCATAGAGCACCATTACATCGTGCAATATGTGCAGCTTAGGACACAAACCCGAATTCATATCATATCATAATTCATATCACTGCAAGATGTGCAAAACACTCGTCACTTAATTATGCTCTTTACCCGCTCTGCTGTACGAAATTTACATCCTATCGATCACACACTGTAGCACTCTCCAGAGCATACCACTTGTTGATCATATTAATTCCACTGTAGACACGTCTTCTCTTTGATATGATTAATAATATTATATATATATATATATATATTTTTTTACCGACCAGAAAATACAGGTAAATAAAGGTAAGCACTAAGGTACGGTCCTTCAGGCATGTATAATTAATGTATGACTGATGGCCTTCTTCATCTGCAAAGGCCCGACCTGTCTGGATAGATCTTTTCCTGGCTTTTTGCTGGCCGTGTTCGCTGCTGTGTATGAAATCCAGTCAGGGATCTCGTTGCTGTCTTTGATCTCTCTCTCTCTCTCTCTCTCTCTCTCTCTCTCTATATATATAAATATATATATAATATAATATATATATATATATATATATATTAATATAATATATATATATATATATATATATATATATATATATATATATATATATATATATATATATATATATATATAATATATATATATATATATATATATATATATATATATATATATATATGAGAGACCAATATTGATTCTACATTCAAGAGTTGCGGTGGTTCTAATTGTAAAAACGTATGGACCCCACTGAAAACTGTTTATGTATTTTTGTTTTTAAAGGGACATTGATATAGTAAATTATAATAATCATTTATAAATAGTTAATTTGTTTGAATTTTGTTGTCTGCTCTTTCTTAGACGGAACTGTTGCTTCGCCCCACAGACAGGTATGTTAAGTGCTGGTATTAAAATTCGTGTTTTACCGTAATGTTATAGATTGTTTAATGGGTGGATTAACATGATTATGGAATCCCTGCGTACTGAACTGTGATTAAGACGGAATTGTTACTTCGCCCCACACACACACGGAAAGAAAGATTGATAGAATGAGGCGATGCCAACACCTCGACCATTAACATTAGCCGTTGTTGTTAGGATATGTTTATTCTAATTTCGTTTTCATTTTATTCATATATTATTCATCAGTATTTTTATTTTTATTTATTATTTGATTTATTTATATTTGGTCGTGGATACAACATTTGTCGAAGGAGCCAGATCCGGTGCTATCAAGGAATAAAATGCGAACAGATATATATATATTAGGCTGCTTTCACACCAAGGTGGCATGTCGCCCGTGACATGGCACATGGCACGCCACTCGAAAATGAACAAATGTCAACATGTGAAACCTTTCACACAGAAGTGGCGTGGCACCGAGCGTTTGCCTTTTGTTCGTATTATGTTTATTGTAATGATTATTGATTTTTTATTATAAGGCCAAGAGAGGATGTGAAATTGAAGTTACTATTAGACATGAATTAAGTTAGTAACAGAGTATTCCTAGTTTTTCCTTATTACATTCATTAAGATTTACATTCTTTGCCACGTTTATCATTCTTGATTTATAGACTCAAAGTTGATTAAAAATGTTTCTATGCTCAATGCATATTTGAGACACATTGAACAGAGGAATGAATTCAATCCGCCCACGAGCCTAAACACCGTTAAGTCATGCTGTCCATATCGAAAATAAGTTTTCTCGGGCTTTCCTGGTCCAAAATCCGTGGTGGTTGCGGCGCTGCCAGAGATATTATTGTGTTGATTAAGTTTCAAGGTCATGTCATAGGTTAAAAACTTTGAAAGGATTGAGTACCAATTATTATTTTGCTAATGTCCCCAACATAATGGTAACAGTGGATTCAGAAATAAATGTCAATAATCTGGATATGAAAAAATTGCAGTATGATATTGTATACAGTGGCAGGATAGAATTAAATCTCTTACAGTGAGTATATAAAATTCTTATATGACATATATCTGTTTGTGTTTGTATGTACATACACACACACACACATACACACACATATGTGTATATATATATATATATATATATATATATATATATATATATATATATATATATATGTGTGTGTGTGTGTGTGTGTGTGTGTGTGTGTGTGTGTGTATATATATATATATATATATATATATATATATATATATATATATATATGTGTGTGTGTGTGTGTGTGTGTGTGTGTGTGTGTGTGTGTGTGTGTGTGTGTGTGTGTGTGTGTGTGCATATGAGTGGGTCCTTTGCGCGCTAGGTGATGTGAAGCGATGGTGTGGCAGCCTGGAAAGTGTTAAGTGTTTTGCACGCCTTCTCATTTGCAACTGCCACCGCTGGCTAGCTTGGTGTGAAAACAGAGTAACTGTGCATAAGACTCCTCTGCTAGCTCTTAGCCATTTCATCATCAAGACTTCTGCAGTGCCTCCTCGTGTTCACCCATAAAAACTGGGTACCTTGCGTTCCCAGGCTGAACTGTAGAGAATCTTGGAGCAGTAGGAGGCCCTAAAAGAGCAAAGTCATGGCGGGCCTTGTCAGACTTCCTCCCCAAGAAAACCCAACTAGCAGCATTTTATATAGATGTTGGTGTTGGGGGGAAGGCAAACTACCTTCCCATTCAGCAAGTTAGGCATGCTGTGGGTCCCTCTGGGTTGGCGACCAGTGGGACTCGGTCTGGGAGCTTGGATTACCTGCCCCATTCATGTCCCAGTGACCGCCATCCTGGCGTGAAGATTGTGGGGCAAAACACTAGGGATCCCTGCAGGTGGATTAGCGGGCTTGCAGCTGGCCGCCCTTCACTGTATGGGGCAAGGTCGGTGGGGTTGGCAGAGGTGGCATCCACCCAGGGTGACTGCCCAAGACTTAACATCATTTAGGACAATAGGGTGGGTGCTTGGAACTCTTTGCGAAAGGATGATTAGTTGCCACTACTATTGAGTGAACTGAAGAAGCTGATAGCTGAGGTGAACAAACCTGGCAGTGGCATGATCAGTGTTGGTGGCTATACCCATAACTCTTTGGGTTGCAGCGATGGTCATCATCTTCAGGAAGTTGCCATAGCCATCTCCAGCAGATTTCAGCTCTCGATATACTGAGACTGAAGCTTGCATTTGGCTTCACGTCTTTCATTACTGTGTACACTCCTACTGATATTTGTAAAAT